AAAAAACCCCTTATTACTCAAAATTAGGTTGAGGGGGGCCGTAGAAACGTTTCTACAACCCCCCTACCCTATTTTTACTTTTGAAGTTGATGTCGTGCCACGCAAATTTCAAAATTAGTCACGCCAATTCACGCTAATTGTACGCTAAATATTTAATCAAAAAAATTTTTGAAAATTGAAATGCGGGGGGCTGGTGAAACGTACGTAACTTCGACGGAACAATGAATCAAATAACGAATTTTCTGTTCCTCTGGAAAGCTGCAAATACTACGTACTTCTAGTCTACGATGTGAAAGACATACAGAATGTTGAGATGAATGAAAGGTACGTTGTGCTTGTATAAAAAGGATACACCATGATACCTACATAATATATTAATATATTGGTAGCGGTGTCGTATGCTATCTACGCAATAAATACTAGTGTCGTATGCTATATACAAATACTATTTATCGTCTGATGTTATATAATATCTAAATAATAATATTTATCTACGCTCTACAAAGTTAGATCCTTTGGGTTTTTAACGATTAGTTGTGTCTGTGAATTATTCGCGTGTGTTTGTCATTTGTATTGAATTCAAAATGACTTCAATTGGTGATTTATATAGACATATTATTTATACCGATGATACTTGTGTGAATTTTTTAAAACAAAAAGGTTTCTTACTTAAACAAGAATTTTGTGAAAAAATGAATAATGTTAGCAATAAAGTGTGTGGTGGCGTTCTCAAGGAATGTTATAAAAATAGCCGCAAAAGTGATTCCGATGGGCAATCTGTTAAAATAAAATACTTACGTTGCCAAACACGTGGTTGTCAAACATATCAGTCCATTCGTAAAAAAAATCCATTTTTCATCTATGTCGATATTAATGGAAAATGTAATAGCGCATTAAGTGTATGCCAAATAGTATTGTAGAGCTCGTATGGTATTGGGCACACGGTAATATTTGTAGATAACATTAATTATTGTGTAGATAGCATACGAGATACGACACCGCAACCAATATATTAATATGTATAGCTTTAGCCTATAGCATAACTATACAGTATACATTATATAGAGATACGTAAAATATTAAAAAATATACTAAAATAATATATTAATATACCTACCTACTTATCATTATCAGTTACATATCATAATTTCGATAAATTAAGAAAATTAATTACTATCAAAACATTCAAAACTCAAAATCAAATAGGTATTATTTAATAGCCTAGTCGTTTCTCAAATATATCAAAGAATAGGTAAGTATCTGGCTAATAATTTAGGTACGAAACTAATTCTTTGTATAATAAATATTATCATATTTAAAATGTTTCCTTTAGTGCCCAAAAGTTTTTCGGATAAGTGATAATGTGTATTATTGCATTGGCGCAACTGACTGCTTTAGTGATGCAGGTGTTCAATAAAGTTATATGAAATTGACATTATTGAATAGAATTATTTTAGGTAGGTACCTATTACTCATTAGTAAATTGTTGAAATTTCATCATGTTGTACAAATTGAGTGAAAATTGTTTTTGTTTTTGAGAATAATTTAATATTATCTAGACCAGCGTTTCCCAAACTCTTGTTAGGGCTGGCCCGGTAATTTATATTTTTCACCTTCGTGACCCACCAAAATATTTTACATTTATCATTATGTAATAAAACGTAAAATAAAACACATTTGAATCATCTCTCCCGTCTATTTGACTTCTTCTTCAGACTTAACAGTTTGAATTATCAAACGAAAATGATAAATAACAAATTTAATATGAGAATTTCATTAAATTCTGCGACCCGGTATTACATTTTGATGGCCCGGTAGTGGGTCTTAACCCACTATTTGGGAAACGCTGATCTAGACTCTAGAGGATACCACGATCAAGACAAGTAAATGCAGATGATTCCCTGTTAGAAATACTAAAAATATTTTGTTTTTATCAATTCTTTAAATGATTTATAACAACTAATAGTAACCTATATGTTATGATGGGTAAATACGTATTTTTTTTTTTATTCCAATACACCTTTAATTTATTGAATAACTCATATCATTGATATTAGGTACATAGTATATTATAATAAACTCTTTATGTATAATCAATACTAATTAATATCTAATTTTATGAGTGATGTAATTATACAATTATTTATTTTTAAATAGTAAGTTTAAGTTTATTTTACATATGCTTTGATTCATTCTTAATATATTAATGTATAATACATTAATACTTCAATAACATATTATAATTATATACCTATACTTATTCTAACACATTTGTTTGTATTTAGATTTAAGCACGCCGTGTTATGCGAACGAGTGTGGCTTTCCAATAAAGATCAAAGGTTAATCGATTTTATTGATACGGCATTTGAAGTGATCGGGGAACGTTTTGCAAACGACTCAAGACGTAAAGTTTATCGTTACTAGGGATATATAGACGTGGATGCGAATAAGAGTAAAAACTCCAACTGTGCTCAAGTATAAATAGCAATATAAAGTATGATGGGAGGCTACGCATCTACAAACATAATTAATTTATTATTTTTTCAACATTAATTGTATGGTGTAGGAGTTAAATGTTATAAATTATATTCGTATTATACACGTTTAATAACACAACTATTTAACCGATATTGTAAATCGGAAGATAGCGAATTTATATCTATTATTTATATTATATACTTACTCAAATATTAGATACACTTAATATTATCGAAACATAACGATTTTATATCTTATTTATATTATGTACTTATTCAAATGTTACTTACACTTTATATTATATAATATAATACAATTATTGTTTAGGAAAAGTCAAAAGTACTGAAACATAAGTTACTTACTTGTATGAAAATATTATATGAATTACATGTCATAAAATATATTAAATTTTAACTACAACATGTCAACATTGTAAACTATAATTATTTTAAAATATTGTAAAGGATTCTGTCTTACAGGTATAAATCTTTTTCTTTGTGGAGAGGTATAAAATATGGGACTCATGGATTATCCAAACACATTTGCTAGTTTTTTAAATATATTTGTTTCACAAAAAGAGCTAGAACAAATAAGATAACACCTCAAGGGTTTTGCCCAAAACAACATTAACAACATGTTGTAAGATAATCAGAATCAAAATTACATCTATTAATTATAAAGGATTTTTTTAGTTTTTAATTTATTTTGATTTTTATTAGCTTTTTGAAATACAATGAATTACCAAGGATTTTATTTTATTTTATTATAAGTTGTTTAGTTGTCGGTAAGACCTATTCAATATGTTAGATAAAAAATTCTACAAGTTCTTATAGTTAAATTTTTTTTGTTTTGATTTGTAGAGAAATATTTGATACATTTTTTTTAATAGTATTATATTATACTTGCCGATTAAAATAATTAATACACATAGGTACTTTCAATATTTTATTATATCGGTGAAAACTTAAAAAGGCGATAAACTTTTGATTCATTCAATTCTTTTGAATTCTTCAATTCGTTTTATATTAGCATTTTTTCTCTATTTTGATTTTCTTAGGTTATAAATGTATGCTCATTTTATGGTTAATGTACTAATTGAGTGTTTAATTGTGTTTCGTTATTTCTATTTCAACCAGAAATATATAAATGCACAATATAACACAATACTCATATGTGTCTAAAATAAAAAATATATGTAATCAATTCAATTATAATAAATTACCGAAAAATCAAAGTCAAATTTACTCAGTCTTCGTGATTAAAAAAAGTATCCAGTTTATATTATCATCACAAATTGAAAATGTTATAGGTATAATGATCGTTTGACTTCTAAAATATTCACCTGGATTTCATACTGTTTTTAACGTATTCTAATTTCTAATAGCCTTAAACAATTATTTACAAAACGTTAAAAACAAATATTTAAATATAAGTCTCAAACATGATTAACACATCACAACCAAAGATCAGAATCCAAATAAATAAAAAAATTTACCAATTAGCAATCGATGTTTCAAATCCACATATTTTCACATCTTTATAGCGCAGCGTTTAGCAAAGTTGGTGCAAAAAATGCAAAATTGAAAATGTGTAAACATTACGTTATAACCTCGATGGATTTAACAACAAAACTGAACGCAACGCGCCCTCTAGCATTGCTCTGATGAACTGAACCAATGGAGTGGACATGATTATAATATAAAATCATCATAGAATAATAATAATAATTGCTACTCGCTAGTCGTGAGTGTCGTAATGCCTATTCCTCGAAACAGGCCGGAGTAAATGATTTCGGGGTAGAGAATCACTATATATCATAGACATATAAAACAAGATAATGTTGAAATTGGCAGCCACATCCATATGCCAACAGGACTAAATTGCATGATTGACAATGTACATATTATAATGTTCGTAATATAAATATGACAAATGTATAGGTACATCAGTCTATTGAGTTATTTTGTAAACATTGCCCTGTTGACGTATGGCAGCACGACTTCTACGTTCCTGTGGGAATGAAATATGCAGTCCGCTATCCAGTTGTTTCATATGTCTATGCCAGTGGTTCTCAAACTGTGTTACTCATAGCCTTTGGGGGTACTCAACATTTTTTAGTGGGTACGATTCTGTCCAACAAACCTTTAAATTTAAATAGGGAAAAGATTTTTTATATATTTTAGTAACCTAGAAGGGGTACTCAAAAAATTGTTTTGGTAAAAAGGGGTACAGTGTCTATACAAGTTTGAGATCCTCTGTTCTATGCCATTGTATAGATCACTCAATGATTGGACCCTATCGAAAAATATCCGATTGTTTGCACTTGGCAAACACTATCAAATTTTATTCCGCATGTGACCGAACAGATTTCAATTTGCACCTGCCCGGAAATTATTCGAATATTTTTCATTCGAATGTTCAGAATAAAATGACTTTTCACATTTCAAACTGGGTATTTCAGTCAGGTATTATAGTCAAATACCAGAAATACCTACTTAACTATTAAGACACTATCGATTATCGAATTTCTCTAATTTGCTGGTTCATGAAATAATTCGATAGTGACGATCACTATCGCTAGTCACTATCGAAATTCTCTCATTTGTCTCTCTCACTCCCCTCACCCTTTCTCTCTCGCTGTCTGGTCTAAACGCAGAAACACGCGCTCCGACCACGCCACCACGGTAGTCTTGGTCCTGTCGGCGTGCCGGTTTGTCTATAGCTAATTTTTAAAAGCCGCTCTTTTTGACTGCGACATGCCACACAATCATAGCTGATCTTCGTTCGACACGTTTTCACCGAAATATTTTCACTTCCGTCCAGCCTCCGATAATGCCCATCATCGGTGTGCTTTAGTATTGCTATTTTTTATTGTTGCGGTTCCGACCAGTGAAAAACTAGTGAAATCAGATTCCTGCAGCTATATATAGGTACCTACTTTGCGATTTCATTACATTCGGATTCGCACAATAATGCTGTCGACAAGTGTCGGAATTGTTCATATTTTTAACGCATTCTCTAGTCCTAAAATATAATATAATATTAAATATTGACAATATTTTACAATTATAATATTATTGTCGTACGGTCGTCAGCATTATCCGGAGAATCGAAAACGGGTAAGTACGGAATACGAGTACACGTTTGTTGACAGACAGTAATACTGTATCGAATGCTTAGAATAAAGTATATTATTATAGTTTATAATATTAATTATTAACTTACTTTATAAGTGCACGGAGGAACTGAATTTGTGAGCATTATACACACTCGGGAAATACACTAAATACGAAATGTCGAACGTGTGCATAACGGGATAATAATGGCAAATTATGACATTTTTTTTTACAATTTATATTTTATTTGTATATTTGAATTAAATTTTTCACTTTAAAATATTATCGTTCAGAATGACCAAAATATAATTCTGTATGCATATTTTTGTATTTTTATTATTACCTACCTATCTATTTATAAATATTAACTGTTGAACAACTTACATCTATTTAAAAAAATATAGACGATGGTTTATGGTTATTTTTCAAGCTTAAAAATAGATACAAGTTATAACTAATTGTTGCTTTAATTTATATTAATGAACAATTTATAAATTCTATTGCTGAAGTTTTCTTCGTAGAATGCATGATGTATTGAGTTTAATTAAGATTTTCCGGGCTTATGTATTTTGGGCATTTTATCACAATGTGATCGTATGGTTTTCGTTGCATATTCGCATTGTAGACTGTTATTCTTTGGTGATGAATTTGTATTTAAATGCATTTGTCATATCTAAGAATACTTAAGTGAATATTTGTTAACTTATAATTGTCCTGGTCTATATGATTATTCCATTATATTTTATAGACGCCTCTGTGCATATTTTAGTGCAAATATGAAATAAGATATTACAATGTTCATGTGACTTTATTTCCAAGTAAAGTTTTTGTATAAATATTATGTTTACAGTGAATAGAATGTTTGGTATTGATATTAAAAAAATAGAGACATAGTAAGGTTAGTGAATTGTATTATTTTGTTAAAGGTTCTTGTTTAGAAACGATTTATTTTTTGAAGTTTTTGATAACTGTACAGTTATGGTTAATTATTAATTAGGTTGAGATATACAGTCTTTTGTGCTTATGCAGTACATTTTTTAGTGATATATGGTTAGGTAGATTTTAAATTTTTGTTATACATTTAAGTATGTAATTTTCTCACTTTAGATCAAGTTTTCTGTATTGCAGGATATAATTTTTACACTACAACTGCAGCGCGTGAAACATACAGCCATACAGGTTACTCCTGAATCATTTTGCTGCATACTTGTATTTAAGTTAATAATAGCCTTTCATTTATAGTATTTATATAATTATATATATAATGGGAATAGTTTTTTTGATATTACAATTTTAATAATAATATCATTTTATACCAATATTACTAAAAAATTTAAAGTATTTATTTAGCCATAAACCAATTCTTGCAATAGCCTACGAAAAGGATGAATACTTCAAATTTTTTCCAATTAAAAATTGGTTTATTTTAAATATTTCACTTTTTTCCCCCAGTAAAATATAAAGAATAACAGTTATTACATCAGTTTCTTTAATACAGTTTTTGACAATCGGACAGATGTTTGGTTGGCAGTTGCATATTATAGTATTGTATATGTTAGCGGCAATGTGTATAATATATTTAATATATAAAATGCCTAGGAATTCTATATAATATCTGGTGGTTTTTAAAAAAGTGTATAGTAAATTTTTTTTTACACACATTTCCTAAATATTTTGTATAATAACTAGACATTTCATAAAATGACAAACAACAAATTGGCAATCTGTAGAATAGTGATATAATCCAAATAAATAAATTTCCTTCTATCATAATTAAGACAATTATTAATTTTATTAGCGCACAAAAAAATATTTATTACAAAGTAGGTATCATTAATATTACAGAATATAATGCATAAAAATGAAAAAATAAGAATTTGTAAATTGTATGGGTAGTACTAACATGCAGTTATTAATTATTATTACTATTATATTGTTCTATAAAATACAAAAATCTATGTAGAACGTATAGGTACTTATTAGGAATAAATACAATTTACTTTTTAAAATTTATTTTGAATTTCGTCAAGACAAAATAAATGTTACTAAAAGTATTCTATTATTACAAAAAAAAAACATTATATTTCATATGTTTAAGTTTATAAAAAGTTATTCAATTTATTTATTACAACACTGTAGGTTATAGGATGACATTTTGAATTGCAATGAAGATTACAGATTACTAATGGATTTATATATTGTCAAATATCAATAGGTACTGATTATATGGATTTAATATATTACCTATACATTGTTTGGCATTTCATATAATGTTTAGGTAATTTAAACAATTTTATAGATTGCCGGCTGTATTTGGTGTTATATAGAATTCCTAGACATTATATAAAATACCAATATTACACACATTGCCGCTAACATATATAATCTGGCACCTAAAATATGATGGATACATAGCCCCCTCTTCACCATGGTATTCTATGGCTTACTTGCTAAAGTATACAGTATGAAATATACATATTTAAATATTCTAGTTAGTGACCTCTAGCATTACGATAAATACAGTGACTAATTCAGCGGTGCACTCTAGTTACGCCCCGGATAGCTGTGTGTATATACACGAATTGCACCGAAATTAGTTAGTACTTAGTACTTACTAGTAGGCTAATTTAAATAAATAGCACCCAGATTCATTTTCAGTTAAGTAATTTGTGATTTGTAGTTTTAATATAGTAGTAATATAATTGCATAATGTGAAGATGCATTGAACAAAGCAAACATCATTGTTATAAAACAAATACAAATCATTTAGAATTTTTTTATTCACTGCAGTGTCACTTTTAGTTTTGTCTTATTAAATATATAATTTGTACTTACACATTCGTGTTTACATCAGTCAACAAGGGCGATTGTAAACTCAGCCAGAGGATAAAAAGTTCAAAGTGTCTATTTGTAAACAGCACGACCCCAATTGTTCTTACTTAAAATTGGTTGGTATGTGAACTCTGCTCGAATAAAATAAACTTGATCCTGTCTCATCATATCTAATTAGTATTTACCTTTTAACATTTTTGAGAAACATTAATCAGAGAACACGAGGGGAAGATTCTCATGATCGTACAAAAATTATTTTGTTTCATTTTCATATTTAAAAAAAATAAAAAGTGTGAAAATTCGTTGTAACGGTACCTACTCTACTCGTTGAATTTGCAAAAGATGCCGGTGTTAAGTCGGACTATAAGGTTGGTTAAAAGTGAAAACTCAATGTTTGAGTTTTTGATAAGGAAGACGTCGCTGATGATGTTTAGTGATCAGGATTTTTGATAATTCTTTGGCTGTCTCATTTCGAAGGTGGGAATGTTAAAAAGTCGAGTTTGAGTGTCTAGAAATTTCACATGGACTGTGCAAATTGGCAATTGAATGGGCTTGATATAGTTGTATTATATACACTTAATGTGTGTATATGTTTGTATTTATTATTTTTTTGGCGCTGGGAAGAATGTATTGGTTTTACAATAATGTGTGTGTAATTTTTTTGTTGTCCGAAGAAATTTATATTTTATATGGTACAAAAAATGATTTAATATTGAGGGTGGTTTCTGAAAGCAAATTGGATTAGTTTGTCCTCTTTTTTACTTAAAAGTCAAAAGTAAAAATTGACGGCTTATTGAAAATAATCCAGAAAAAAATACAGAAAAATGGGATTATTTACAAGACATATAATTATTGACAAATATTTATTATTTATTCAGCTTATTAATAAATTAGACTTGACAATTTAAATTGTTCACTTATTGACTTTTTTTCATTTATAACAATATACATTTTTTTGAAGCTGAAAAACCTAAAAATGTAATACAAGGTCCCATTGTATGTTCTTTGAAAAATTTAAGAAATTATTAAATATAATAGATTTATTAGATTCAAAAATCCATAGTTGCAATTTTTTTATAAGCATTTTTGAAGTTCAAAATTTGTTGCATTTGTCGTATTTGACTTATAAGTCAACGACAATAATATTTGATACCTATAAATATTTAATATTATAATAATTCATAATTACTTAACAATAAATACGATATTCTTGGCTAAAATGTGTTAAATCTACAGTATTACTAATAGAAAAAATAATTATTAATGTCTAATATAAGTAATAGGTATAGTAACAGCTATACAAATATAATAATTATTTATATATATCTTAAAATATATGTAGAAGCTAGTACATCGTTTCGTTCAGAATTGACTTTGGTATGAATGATTAATTTAAATCATTGGTTTCAAATTTAACACATACATTATATTATACATTGAGTAGTAACCAACTCGGTGATGAAGTACATTAAAAATCTAGTATATAGTAGATTTCTCTAGTTTTATATCAAAGTATAACTAACTATTTGTGTAATTTTAATTGAAAAACAACTAGTTGGTATGTGTTATTGCATTTATGGTTTATATAGTCGTCTTAGAGGGATTTTATTTCTATGTATAAATTATAGGCTAATTGTATTTTAATAAAATAAAAATGTCCTTAAAATATTTAGTAGTGCAATTGGTGTATACAATTTAGGTACTAAAATAATATTTCATCCAATATTCTATACTATGCTTAAAAATTAAAAATAATGTGCATTGTTTAGATTTCTGATCTACAGGGTGTTAATCCAATAAATTATTGTCTGTTGGTATTACGTTATAGGGAAGTATAGTAGCTGAAGGTTCCTATCAAGAACTACAATCCACCGCTTTTGAGTTTGCAAAATTACTTGAATCTTCAGATGATACAAGAACAAATGAGCTGGAAAATGATACCAACAACACTTTAAATAGACATTTGGTTTCAACTTTGCTCGGTTCCAACAAAAGTATTTCATCATCACAAAATGATGTAAATGTTAGTGGAGCTTTAGCTGCAAAATCAAAAAATACGGACAAAAGTCGGTCGTCTGGTCGTGTTTCGATTAATGTTTATAAATCATATTTATCTGCCAACGGGAGTGTTTTTAAAGTATTTGTTGTACTTTTTTGTTTTATTCTGACCCAAGTATTGGCTAGTGGTTGTGATTATTGGATTAGCTTTTGGTATTGCGACTATTAAAGAATTAAAATCTACGGAATAAATTTTTGATATATATATTATGTATATTTTTAAGGATAACTCATGAAGAACATGTTTTGCATAACACAATAAGTTATAATACAACAAATAATAATGGTACATTATCGTCTAGTGATTCATTTAGTACATTATTGTTTTCGTCAAATTTTCGTCAAAACTGTATGATCTTATACACCGTTATAATAATTTTTTTAACCGTAATCGCTGTCGTCAGGACTGTCACATACGTATCATTCTGTATGAGAGCTTCAATAAATATGCATAATCAAATGTTCAATAGATTTATTAAAGCCACGATGTTTTTTTTCAACACGAAGTCTTCTGGTAATTAATTAACCTTACCTAGTATGGCTTTATTTCAAACAGTTTAAAATTTAGTTTTATGTCATATATACGTATTTTGTATAGGTGACATGTTGAATCGTTTTTCAAAGGACATCGGAGCTGTTGACGAATATTTGCCATACATTATTTTTGATTGTTTGCAAGTAAATATAAAATATTTTATTTTATTTAAGATGGTGTAATTCAGACGGTTTCTGAAGTTTATAATTAAAGGAGTTAAATTTATAAAAACTATCCTATGTTTTGCGAGCACTTTTTAAATGTATGCAATCATAACAGCGTATCTCCCGTATGCAATGCAAAGGGCTGTATATAGAGGGGGGCAAGATGTTGTTGCGCCGGGTGGCTCATTATGGGGGAGGCTTCAAATTTTAAGTTTTTAAACTGTATTCAATTTTTATTCAGTATTTTTTTGTTGTCTACGATAGAAAATTCTTATATACGGCCCTGCACACACAAAATTCGACAATCTTTCGACAAGTGATAATTGTTACTTCTTAAATGCATTTTAAATAGAAAAATAAAAAAGTTTAAGGTCAAAATATGAGATAACCATTGCAATCTTGTGTAATCTTCATAACAATTACGTTGTTGTCACGATTTCGTTATCACATAACTAGTTGTATTATTTATCTATGAATAAACTATAGTAGGGTGGTCAAACGGGGATAGATCTCCCCCTCCAAAACTGCCACACATAATATTTATTTTTAATACTTTTAAAAAACAATAATAGAAATAATAATAATTTTTTTATTTATATTTATTAACTATTAACAATTGTTTATATCAAAATTATAAAAATCATGGACCAAGATCTAAAATTATTTTTTAACGAGCCAAGTGCATATTATAAAATTAGTCTCCCCATGATGAAATTATTTGACTGATGCTGAAAATGGAAATATTTTTATAAAAAAAACTATAAAATACCATGTATATATAGAACATATTAAAGTAATTAATTGTTTGTTTTTGAATATTTTTAATATGCAGCTAGTCATGCTACTTTTGGGAATCATATTGATTATTGGATTTGTTAATATATATCTCATGGCACCGACATTTATTGTGGTAGTAGTATTTTATAACATTAGAGTTTTCAATTTGCCTACGTCAAGAGGTATCAAACGGTTAGAAGGAATTAGTAAGTATATTCTGCTTATCTATCATTAATAATCAACACTATTTGACATTTTAAAACATAATTTCTATTTACATTATTATAAATAGCACGAAGTCCTGTATTTGCACATATGAAAGAAACATTGCAAGGTTTAACAACAATAAGGGCCTACAAGGTAGAACAAATTTTAATCAATGAATTTGACAAGCATCAAGTGAGTCGAAATTCGTTAATATACTTAGTACTGTTTGCATGCATAATATATGTAGTTCATAATATAACAATTAATTAATACATTTTAGATTTAGGACGGAGTGATGATTGCGTATTTATCTTATAATAACGTGTATTGAATGTTTATTTGTATACTTTTTTCTTTTTTTGAGTATGTAGACACTTTTTATAGTGGAAAAAATACATCGAACTTCAACTTTAAGGTACTAGTGGCAAATTGGATCTAGTTGGTACTTTGAGGTGTCAAGTTTTAAGTCAGTTTCAAATTTGTTTTGTGTTAAAAAGCTAGACAGTTAATACTTGATCCTTCATAAGTTGTTCTTATTGCAGTTTAAAATTATCAAATATATACACCTATGAGTACATTTTTTTTTTATAAGGTTTCGAAGCTCAAATTTTGTCGGAATCTTGAACTTTTGAAAATTATATTATATTTAAAGATGTAGGTACAACAGTTTTCATTTAAAAATCTGATACAAGGTTCGTCAAAAAATGTTTTTACCGGTGGTGGTCGTAACTCGTAACCGCATATTTTCAAAACTTGTACCTATACATAAATTCCGCACAGTTTTCCCAAAATTATACCTCTTAATATCGCACACGTTGGTATTTATTAATAACGCCCACATTTTTCTAAAATCACATTTTCGTTAAGAACCACACTCCAGTTAATCATATTTAATCAAAATTAGAAAATAATAAAAATTAATATAATAAATAAAACTTTTGGGATTATCCATAAGTTTATTCCGATGTACCCATTAATTTTCTTGCTATTCAAAAATATCTTTTGTATGAACTTGAAACTTTACTCCATTAGTAACACGTCGTTATAGACTTAAGAGTAAATAACAGCTAGTAATAATTTATGAGATAATATTAAAATAATTATTACTTCATAATATCTCGTTTTTAACAACAATTAGTTCAAACTATCTTATTACTAATAGAAAAAAATTGCTTTTAGCTCTATAAATATAATATTATAAATTCTATAGAAATATAGCATGATATACTACACTATATTATTGGGGAGTATAGAGGACTTGGTGTGGCTGAAAGGTTGGCCTCGGTCACTAACGTGTTCTGAGGTTAAGCATCGGCCGGCGTCGTTAGTAACCGGATGGGTGACCACCGGGGTTTTTAGTAACGAATTCTCGCCTCACATGGGTGTAAGTGTTCCTCAACCAACCGTGACCCCTTTATATATTACTAATGGCTATAATTTATTGTCGATGCTCCAAACACAAAAATAATATAATATAGCTAGGTAGTATATGTATATATTATCTCCGCCCAGAATCGATTTTCACCGTATACAATTATTTATCATTGAATTCAAATTCAGTAACGCATCCATTACTGTGACCTACTCAATATTGAGTTACATTCTCTACTATATCAGCAGAATGACTTTCCTTTCTTTTTTATAATTATTTTGTACACAATTTAGGACTTACATTCATCTGCTTGGGATATGTTCATTTGTGCGAATCAAGCATTTGGGTTCTGGCTAGATATAGTCAGCATTATTTATATAGGTATTGTAATATTCAGCTTCTTTGCTGTCGAAAATGGTAGGTTTGAGATGTTTAAACAAATAAATGTAATTTATTACCTTGTTGTTCATAAAGATTGTTCTATATTCATTTAGATCATTATGGAGGAATTATAGGTCTAACTATTACTCAAACGATTAGATTGACTGCAATAATCCAATGGGGAGTAAGACAATTATCAGTCTTAGAAAACCAAATGACTTCTGTCGAAAGAATACTTGAATACACACATTTACCACAAGAAGCTGATTTTCAATCTTCTTCTGGTATACGTATACCTATAATACCAAATAAATAAAATAATACACCAAAGTATTCATAAATTATAATATAATATATTAACACATATTATTATTGTTGCTTAATTGTTCTTCAGAAAATACACCTCCCAAAGGATGGCCTTTTTTGGGAAAAATTGAATTTCGAAATTTTAGTCTTCGTTATAGTCTAGATTCGCCATATGTATTAAAAAATCTCAATATTCAAATACAACCGTTGGAAAAAGTAATTATGGAAATGTCAGTCAATTTTTACTCGATATATCAAAATAATGATTATGTAACGTTTATTTAGGTCGGAATCGTTGGCAGAACCGGTGCAGGTAAATCGTCCATTATCGGGGCGATATTTAGATTTGCTCTCAATGAAGGATCTATCATTATCGATGATATAGAGATACACAAGTTGGGATTACATGACCTGAGATCTAAGTTTTCCATCATCCCCCAAGAACCAGTTTTGTTTTCAGGAACAATGCGAACAAATTTAGATCCATTTGATGAATACTCTGACCTGGTTCTTTGGAATGCTTTAGATGAAGTAATTAATTGTTTGATATTTATTTAAATGTTTTATTTTTCAGATTACGTTGAGTAATGAGTATGTGTTGATTTTAATATGATCAAAAACTGTTGCATTATTATTATTACAGGTGGAACTTAAAACAGTTGTTGAAAATTTGCCTGGTGGTTTAAATTCTAGAATGTCTGCTTTTGGTTCTAATTTCAGCGTTGGTCAAAGACAATTAGTATGCTTAGCTAGGGCTATTGTTCGAAATAATAAAATAATAATATTGGATGAAGCCACTGCCAATGTCGATCCACAGTAATAAATATTTCAATTAATTGTTGTAATTAATTATATTGCCTTAACTCTTAAGTATATTTTTTTAGTCTTTTCGTTCTTTGTCTTACAGAACCGATATGTTGATTCAAAATACAATTCGAAATAAATTCAAATTATGCACAGTGTTAACGATTGCTCACCGATTGAATACTATTATGGATTCTGAACGGGTACTTGTCATGGACGCGGGCACAGTAGTTGAATTTGATCATCCATATAATTTACTGAAAAACAAAGATGGATTTTTATACAAAATGGTAGAACAAACGGGAATAGCTACATCGGAATTTTTGCGTAGCATTGCCTCCAAGGTATTGAATAATTTATTATTTTTTCTAACTGCATCATTTATATGACTTTTACTATATTTATTTAGAGTTTTAACGTTCAGACAAAATGAATATCTACAATCAATGTGTAACTGTAAAAGAGGTATATAGATTCAGAAATTCGGTGTTCAATAAAAAATATATTTAATAATTTTTCATACGTGTAAGTTATATTTACATATAATAATATGTAATTTTGATAGAGTCTGTGATGATAATATAAATTCTTATTTTATTAGACAAATTTAAAATTGTTTTTATTCTATAGTTCCACATACTAATAATGTACCTATCGTCATTTTTAAATCATTTTATTAAATTAGTGGATTTTATGAAGTCATACTTTTGGACGTCACTGATTACAAAAACACAATTGCGTAAATTTAGTTTTGATAAATAATTAGAAAAAAAACACGTTGCAAGTATAAAATGTTTTACTTTTTCGTCGAGTGCAGTATCGTTGAAAGTGTTTTCGTGACGTTAGTCGTTAATGATCTATAAATGAAAATAATGTGCTACGTTGTAGAGTAGACAGGGACATAATTTTTGGGAAATTCACTGATAATTCGTCGCTGTATAATATATTAGCGTCGAATCACTTCGAATGCACTCTGTTTCAATTAGCAACTCAAAAAATATAAATCGATTTTGATGTTTGTGGGCGATCGAAGACGGACGACGGAGTCCCGCCAGACCTCCGGGCCGCCGAAGTGTGAGCTATATTTTAATTTTATAACGTAATTCATTATAATGTGTGTGTAATGTAATACGATAATGGATAATGTTATTATCATAACGGTATCTGGTATAGGAAATCCGTTTCGTGGGAGGTGCTCTGACGACGATATCGGTCTGCGAGCGTCTTCATTAAGGGCTCGAGATATAATTATCCGCCGGCGGCCCTGGCTTAGACCACAATAATATTATTATTATAATACACACACGTATTGTACGCGGCCAGCGCAGGCACGCGTGTATTATTATTATTTTTAACGTACACGAAACGGAGAGTTTTGCTTGTTATTTATTATACTGGATAGGTACAGCCCCGGGGGTCACGCGCGTACCTACCTACCTACCTACCTATAATGTTATAAAGTTATCGATAGGACGTTACACCGGACGTTGTTTACCGTCTCCATCTCGGGGGGCCGGTCTACAGAATTGACCGGTTAGTGTTTCCGTCACGACGAATCTCTGGTTATGAAATTAGAGTACAAAATCGCGAATCGTCGGATCCGAAAAGGAGAAAATAGCAATCCAATAACCCGTAATCTATCATAATATTATTCTATTTCAATAATCTAGGAAAGTCGCAGTATGAATTGTGAATTGTAACACGATTATTTGAACTTGAAAATATTGTATTAAATTACTAATATTACTATTTCGGTCATTAGTTAAAAAACTATTTTCTGAATTTGAAATGTTGAAAGTTTTTTTTTTTTTTATCAATAAAGGATTTTACTCTTTTCAGAGCATTTAAGACAATTATTATAATAATTCATGTTATTATTATGGGATAGAACGTTAAAATAATATAATAGATCGTTCTTTCCAGCGCCTTATACACGAAATAATATTAACTTGTAATAATTAATATAATATGAGCTAATAAATTAGGATTGGACGATAAGAAAGTAAAATATATGACATATTATTGTTGATCACGGCCCGATATTGTTTGAGAAACGATAATAATAATTAATAATTATATCGATTTAATCTCATACTTCCGTTGCGCGTCCCGTCCGTGCTCGTATATACTTTCCGTACGGCTTGGGGCGATTCGCCAGGAAACCAATACGGATTACAAATGCAAACCGCACGAATGCGTACAAAGAACGTGCAGCATAAAAATATGATTGGGTAGTTAACTTTATATTTTACCAAGTTTTGATTTATAGACCGTACACGGCGTACAGGTATCTGCGCAGCCTGCAGTTCACAAAACAATTGTATTTAGCTCTTTATCCGCCTTGAACTTATTAAAATATTCAGGATAACTTAACTTAAACTGGTTGAAAAAATGATCAACTTGTCCCCCAGCTTTGAGTCACGAGGTATAAAGAGGACCTCGAGGGGCTTCCATTCGGTAAAGCGAAACGAAATCGTATTCGTACGCACACACGCGGCAGTGACGAAGTAAGCCAAGCGCTTATTATTACGACCAGGGCTTTAAGAAAGTTAAGTAACAGTCAGTGTGTGCATATTATGCATCCGGTCGAAATGTACCTACCTGACGAAACATTCTACATGACCATAAAAATAACATTTTTGAAAAATAAAAAAATAACATAATAATACATTGCACTTATCATTAAAGATTATTAATCGGCAATTTAAAAGAGTGTAGCAAATATAAATATTTAATGAAAAATTTAAATAGATACATATTTAAGTTTTTTTTCTTTAAATATTCCTGTTTTAATTTGATATGTTTTAGTCGTTCCCGATTATTTTGAAAAGTACTGGGAATTTTGTACTTTTAATGCCCCATTAAGAACCAAGTAGATCCAATAATTTGCTACAAAATCTAATACTATTATAAGTTCATTATTTGATATTTATACCAGAAATGTAGTGCAAGTCCATAAAATCTTTTTTTTCGATATCACAGACGTAATAATTTAAAAGGTAAATTAATGTTTACATTTAAAGGTTATATTATATTATGTCAATAAAGTAATAATTTCAATACACCAAAAGCAACATTTTTGAATTAAATCTCAACTGTTCCACTTCCATTTAATTTCAATGGGTGAATAATATATCAAGTGGGTACCTAGTTAATATTTTGGTAAGTAATAGATACATGGAAACTAGGTATATATAATATAATATTCATTCCGAAGGGTTCATTTATTGAATACACCTACCTTTTTGACGGTTTCTTCAGTACAATTAAGATATTATATGGACATATGGTATTGAATTACATAGACAAGTAAGCACAGGTGTTTTTCATGTCAGAAAAAAAATACAAAAAGTGTATACGTTTTGAATGCTGCAATGGGGAGTTCTTTTTACATGGACATCATATATTTTACTCCTAACAATCACGAAGTAGGCAATTCAATAACCACAATTCTCTAAAATATTTTCTTAAGTTTTTCGAGTTATTACATTGTATTTAGGAGATTTCATCGATCCAGTTGTCTTACAGGTAGGTACCTACTTACTATTTCACACAACTTGTTTTAGATTATTTCACGATATGTTCTGTGTTTAGCTTAAATATTTTGTATTTCCCTTGTTCATACATTCATTTCATATCATACACAATGTTTAATAATCTGGAGCTGTAGGCTGTAAGCATGTTGCAGGATGGACGTCCAGTAAATGTATCGTATTAATTATATTGGAGTTAGTGAAAACTGAGAAGTCGAGAAGTAAACATCTTCCAAGGTTAATTATAATAAATTATAATTCAACATGGGTATACCTATTAGATTTTTAATATTTTATTTGATTCTCAAACTCTCATACTTAATATGTTTTAAAACTTGTTTTATGTCGTTTATATTCAATTTAATATAAAACTGTAGTTAAAATCAAAACTTAATTGAATATAATATATATAAACAAAACCAAACATATAATGAACTATGGTAATATTAATGTGTATAGGTTCAATAGACAGTTTATGGACTTTTAGTACCTACTTATTCATTAAATATAGGTATAATTATCAGTTCTACTTTTGGGTTCCTACGTTATTTATTTTATTATTCCTGTTTTATATTGAACTTACACAAATACGAGTTATATGAATTGATATGACCAAATATGAATACGGGAAAACAATGTTGGACGGTCAACTTTTACAAATTGACAAATCAAATCCTCGTTAAACGAAGTATAACAATTATACATAAACCCGAATATTATTATTTAACTATTACATTTTAACATATTATCTGAATAACGTAACTTCAACAATGTCATCGGTGCCGTATCGTATTGACTTAATACGTACTAAGAGGACGTCAGTGCACTATTTTTGTTTTTTTTTTTATTTCCAACCGTTGAGCGTGGCTAACAAATGTGCGTTCAGCAAATCTTGAATCTTATAGTGAAGTCTGTAGAGTTATAGAGGGAGAATGAAAAGCTATAATTCCCGCTATACCACCAAGTCTTAGTGCTGTTAGCTTAAGTATTATATTACAGCGAATTCACCGTTTATCAAACTTAAGGTCAAAAATATTATTGATGGTTGTTCGATGTCTCTTTTTTGGTAGGTACTTACTTCATTTATTCGCGAGAGTTTTCTAATTGTTTAATATTTTTATACTATACATATTATACTTATAACTTGAGTCCTTGTTGAGCTTAAAGCATGTTTAAGACAACTGCTCTTAATGAATAAAATAACAAAATAAAAAAAGGTTGAATCTTCATTAGTATTTATGCTATATTATATATGCATTATTTTATTCTGTAATTTATAATATCAATAATATTATAAAATAAGAACTTACGTACATCAGTATTATTTTCTTATACAAATAATGTGTACAGCACTCATATATTACGTTATATCATACGCGGCACACACCCAACCCGGCTCAATGTCTGAACGCGGATAGTTAATTTTTTTGTCTTTCCTATCGCCTCGTTCTCATTGTCGTTTCGACGATGGCTTATAATAACAACCAATAAGTAATATAATAATAATAACTAATAATGTTTTACGATTATCATCGCGGGTCCGACACCGTATAATAATATTAACAACGCACCAACGACAGCATATACAACATCGCGCTCGTCGTATTATAATAATAAAATTATTATTATTATTATTAGGCATGATGTGATTGGGGCAGAAATGTCTGGTCATAATGTTCGTGTGTGGTATACACGATGGACTTCCAGATATCGAAAACGGATGTATGTGCGTATATATATTTAGTTTAATGTTTAAACGATCATTTATTATATTAATACGATCTTATCGCGTGTTGCGCGGGCCAAGATTATTAGCCGGTCCCGCCGAGGTGGATTGATCTCTCTCTCTCTCTCTCTCTCTCTCCCTATATATATTTATCTTTCTCTCACTCATCACGTTATTATTATGACTATATGTGTACCTCTCTGTCTCACTCTCTTGGTTCCACGATATCAGGTGTTGTGGGCGGCGACGATGCGGGGACGAGAATGGTGTTGGACGGAATATAGGTACATGAGAAAAAAAAATCATAACATCCAAGTCACCGGAAACGTATTTCGTTATAAATCAAAAACGGACTCGAAAGCGATAAGCGCGATTGTAAAGGCCGACGTTACACTGTTACTTATGAAATCGTATTCGTATACAATATACATAGGTAGTTAAGAAGTTATGTTCGTTACCTCGGCGATGTTCGAGTATTATTTTATGGGTACCTACGTTATGAATATTTGCAACCCTGTGGCTATACATAAGCGCCAGCGAAATAAAAGTACATAACATTTCCTCCAAAATTAGTTGGACACGAGTGCCAATATAGAATTATATCTAAAACGAGTATTATATTATACTATGATATAAATACATGGCAAAGATAAATAATTTGCACTAGAAATAAATACTAATATTTTGAATGTTTCAAAATATTCAAAATCGTCTAAATTGAGAATATTCAAATAAACGTCTAAATAGTTACACATTTATTTAGTATTTTTATAACATATTTTTCTTGAATTAATTGAAAAATCAGAGCCAATTATTCCCCGAATAAGAGTTTTTTCTCTTTCAAAAACTATACACTCGTATTTTAATACCAAGTACACAAAATTGACATCAGCTGAAATCAAATCTAACATAATATGCGGGTGTGATAGCTTCATTGAGTTGCTCATAAACATTGTGTAATTTTTTTTTTTTATTGATTTAAAGCCTGGCAGATTTGGCCGTTGGTTGTTTGTGGGGGAAACGGTCGGTTTGAAACACGTACTGCATGTGTGGCAAGGATTTCGTTGCTAAAAATTTCAGGTGGTCACCCATCCGGGAACTTTAAACGACGACCGTTGTGTACACTCTGAGTACAGCGCTAGACTGAATTTAGACATCACGCCAGACCGAGTCACAAACATTGTGTTTATACATTTTAATGTATAGCGTGTAAGAATTCGGTTGCATCACGAGTGAAACAGTGATTTTTGGCATAATTTTGATAAAAAAAAAAATCAAAACACACAGAAGGCGCATGCACATGTGCAACATTTTTTTGGTTAAGTTATTATTGGCCCGTGGGTCGGGGCGGTGCAAGTTGTAGCCGCATAGTCACTGGCCGGTCGACTGGCCGGGAAAATTCATTGTTCAATTTAAGTAAATAAAATGTTTCTGAATAAATCGTTTACTTTTTAGTTTAACAATTTATTGTAAGATAATATTATTATTTATTAGATACCTATTATTATTCATTATTATTATTATTATTATTATTAGTTCTATGATTGTATGTGGACATATGGACGACAAACAAAGAAACATTAATTGATTTAAAAATGTCTTGCATATGAATAAATTATAATCGAATATGTGAAAATAAAACACTATTTTAAAGGTATTTTAAGGGCATTAACTAGTTGGTTAATTTTCTAATCAACTTATAAACGATAAAAGTTCAATACAATTTGTTTATTGTAATTTAGGTATTAGAAAGAACGCAATCGTCCTAATACTAATTATTATTTAAAAAAAAGTAGATTCTTTTTTGACTTATCGATTTTAATATTTTCTCTTGACTTAACTCGAGTTAATTATACTCATTAACCTGCTCGTCTTTGATGTCATTTAAACACTGTACAGCGCACACAAGAGTATAAGACTCACATTACAGATAGTACACCTGCAATAATTGAACTGTTAAAGGAGAAGGTATATGACGACCCGACAACAATAATATAATGTGTAACAACTAATAATTAAATGTTTCAATATTGTGCGGTTTTAATGTATAATTAATAATTAAGTACTACAAAATTCAATATAAAAAAAAAATACACATATCATACATAATACACTGAATAACGGAATAAAATATAATTACAACACATGCGAATATAACGTACACACATAATTCTAGTTTACTATGTATAGCCAATAATACGAGCATGGTAAGAACGATGTACAAAAATAATATAATTGTATTATTTATACAACCGAAAATTGTTATTATATATAAATGTACAGAAATGAGTTATACAGAAAAATAAATAATTATATATATATATATATCGATATATTTTATCGTGACACGATTCCTATAACTTATTATACAACGTATGTATCAAAATATTTGTTGTTCGATTATAGGAAGACTGCGGTTGAAAATCGGAATTTAAAATTAAACCCTTTCTTAAAGTTTTACATAATATGTACAATACTATAATAATAATAGTCTATAAATTATATATTTAATCACAAAACTATATATTTAATGCATATTTTAACAAACCCTGTAATAATAATTAATAGTAATAATAATGCCTTAAAGCTAATAACTAATAAGTAATAATATGATATATAAAGTTTATGATAACACGTTTTTTGTTGCCTTCGGCAAAACGTATACTCCTCTTACGCAATGATAAAAATAAAATATTGTAAACAGATAAATAATAATAATAATAATAATAATAATATTAATAATCATACAAAAAACAGAGTCGCCCAAGATAAAGCGAATAATCACAGAACCCATGTGGTTTTCGAATATTATGTTCATGTACAAAAATCATTATACATTAGTAGACGTGTTATCACACATATTGTTGTGCACATCCTCTCGCGCGATGCAGGCGTGTAATAAATAAAATAATAATAGTAATCATAGAAAATCAAAGTAAAAAAATCGCAACGAGAAGAACGCATACATCGTGTAAAGTTTGATTTCGAGCGCGTTTTCGAAGAGCGGACCGAAACGTTTTCTCGTTTTCGTTTTCCGTTACGCCCGCCAATCAGATCATCAGACGACTTCAACTGCTGTAGCAAGTCTTCCGGACGTCCGCGAGTATGACGCTGAACTCCTCGTCCGGTTTGCCACCACCTCCAGCGGCCAACACTTGTCCCGCAGCGGCGGCCGCTGCTGCGGCCACGCTCTGCATATTGGCCGTGGCCGGGACGTTCTGCACGTCGGGGTAGTGTTGGGGCGGTAGGCCGTCCAGCGTGGCGTAACCGCCGAACTCGCTTTTTATACCGCAGTTGTTGAGCAGATACGACGGACCGTGGTGCTGTTGGTGGTGATGGTGGGCGTCCTGGTGAACGACGTGTTGCACCACTGCCGGCGCGTAGTAAGAGCTGTACTGTTGCTGCTGCTGCTGCTGCTGCTGCTGCTGCTGTTGCTGTTGCTGCTGCTGCTGCTGCTGTTGCTGCAGATGGTGGTGGTGGTGTTGTTGTTGGTGGTGCGATTGTTGTATGCCGGCAAACATGTGTTGCTGTTGCTGCTGCTGCTGCTGCTGCTGTTGCTGATAGTTGTGATTGTTGTCTGGCTGTTGGGCCATGTACTTCAAGTACCGGTCAAGTTCGGAGCCGGCTCCGGTGGACGACGAAGCGTCCACCGCGATGTCGGACTGCTGAGATCTGGGCCGCTGAAGGTTGGCCAACAGCATTTCCGACGGCGATTGGTGATGGTCGAAGCTCATCTCGATGATTTCACCGCCAACCCCTCTGCCCGTGCCGCCACCGCCTCCGTGGTATTCGTTGCCCGTCGACGGTTGCCTGTGCTGTTGCAAGCCCTGCAAGTTTTGGTGGTGGTCTTCTTGCTGCTGCTGTTGCTGCTGCAGTATGCTTCCGGCGGCTGTAAAACAAAATAAGAGAAATATAAAAAAAACTGATGAGTACAGTCGGTGGCATTTCTGGCACACTTCAGACTCTGCACTGCACTTACCGTGGTATCCATCAGATGGAGGTCTGCCGGCTGCGATGGTCGCGGCCGACGAGAGGCCGCTCGTGTAAACGGCGGTACCGGCGGCGTGAATTCCGCTGGTTGAATAAAACGGCCTGTTAGCGTAATGCGGCTGCTGCTGCTGCTGTTGCTGTTGCTGTTGTTGCTGTTGTTGGTGTTGTGAGTTGGGTCCCAGAACCTGCTGGTCTTGGGATGTGGCAATCGGAGGGTAAAACGTACCGGTCACGATGTTGTTGTGCTCGTAAGCCAACCGCTGATTGGTGCACATCATCACCATGCCCTTGGCCACGCCCATGGCCGCAATCGAACCGGGAGCCGGTTGATAAGACGACGTCTGAATGTTATTGTTGTTGAATTGTCGGTGGTGGTTGTTGTTTAGCTGTTTTTGTCCACCGCCGTAATAGCCGCCAAAGTCGTCGAGTTCGTACTTGACGACATCGGCCCGGTGATACGGATGGTGCAAGTGTTGGTGGCCGTGGTGTTGATGGTGGTGCGAGTGGTGGTGAGGGTCCTTGCCTGCGCCTGTGGCCGGTTCCATGGGCGACAGCTCGGGCGTGGGAAGCGTGGGCGTCTTGCTGGCCGACCGCTGATGCAGCAGTCCACCGTCTGGGACCTGTCCGCCAACACTGCCAGTCTCGTCGCTGGCCGAGGCCTGGCCGGTGGGTTTTTCCGGATCGGGACTGCACGTGGGCGAAGACTCGGGAGTGATGACCTCGGACACGCGGACAGGCGAGTACGGGCTCTCGCTGTTCGGGTAGTACGGCGACGTGGTCTTGGACGGGCTGTACGGCTGGTACGCGTACGGCTGCTGCTGGTGGATGGCCGGCGACGAGTACGACGACGAGCTCTGGTACGGCGAGCTGGACGGGTACTGGACCAGCTTGACTTGGCCCGCCGAGTTTGGGCGCCGGGACGTGGGCGAGTGGCCGGATCCACCCTGGGCCACCGCGGCCGACACACCGACCACGGAAGTCGGCGAGCCCGCCCGCTGCTTGTTGTGCTTCCTGCGCCTGGGCCTGTACTTGTAGTTGGGGTGTTCTTGCATGTGGATCACCCGCAGCCGTTCAGCTTCCTCCACGTACGGCCGACGGTCTTGTGGCGTCAGACTTCGCCATTTTTTTCCTGAAACAATCGTCAAGTCACGTTATAGAGATCGTTTATTTCCAAACCGTAAAATAATTTATTGATTTTAAATGGGGAGTGAGTGGGTCAAAGTCAGAACCACGTCCTCTGTCCTATCGGTTTTTTATTTAACCGTCAACTGCGGGTCAACGTAAACTGATGCGGAAGTAATGAGATTGGTATATAAAATATAATACATTAATACGAATGCGAGTGTAATAGAATTCTTAAATTAAAAATGTTGTGGTTTTTTTGTGCGTTTACGCCTGCGAATTTTTACAATGTGGTTTTGCATTTGTATCGAAGGCGTAGACGACAGTGGCTAGTATAATATTATATTAGAACACAGTATATTAATTATGTGAATTTTGATTTCCTGCATAACGTTTGTGTATGAAAATCGGTGTGTGGGGGGGGGGGGGTGTTCCTCCGGAGGTTTATGTTTTAGGTACTCAGTGGAAAACGACCGTGGATAACACAGCGGATTCATACAATAATAATATTATATAATGGAACTGTGGTATCTGACATGCGCAGCTCGCACACACCCATAGACCGATTAATTTATGCGGCTGACATCGATGGTACAGGGGAAAATTCACAAAAATTACTCGTTTATACACTTGCGTCTAAAGGGAAATAAGTGTCTCGGTGTCCAGCTAAATATAAATACGATGGGAACAAATATTTATAAATATGGATTAAAAACCACGTGGGTAACACATATTGTATTATTATATTTTGGCTATCATTGCGTTTCATCGGATACGATTTTGACAAATTGGCCGTTCGATCGTGAAAGATATTATTTTACCACTCCGAACGTATGTTTTCTATAGCAATGTGCAGCAGACGGCAACCTACAAGCCCGCCGTAAGGCTTCGCGAGTTCTATTAACGCATATTATATTATACGCAGACGTTCCGATCATAGAAAAATGTACTTATGCTATTACACGGACGTTATTTTTGACAAATATTCTTAGAAAGTCAGGATATTATAAGGCTCGTTTTTTTTTTTTTTAGGAGTGCGCTTAGCACCCCAATTCCACCCACCATCCCCCTTTATGGGGCACTGGCCGCGACTGCAGCTGTCATTAGTAAACCGATCGAAAATGATGGGAGAAAACTCCGTCTCGAATAAATCTCAAAGGTCATTGTGATAATCGTCTAATCGGATAAATCAGATCCGTAGCGGCGGCGGCGGCGGCGGTATTAGACTGATGGATAGCTGTTATATGGAGTGATGCTGCTGCTGGTTTGGATGATATTAAAATATTATTGTTACGACCAAGACGGGTAGTCCGGGCCAGGCGCACCACTCGTTTATTATTATTATCATTGTGGCCACCTCCACCTTAATCGACTGCCGATCGTAAAACTGAAACCAGAAGCACCGGACGGATTACCTAGGTATATATCATTATCGTCGGTGATATCTATCGCCGTCCCACCGCGGCCGGTCTGCGGCAGTCTCCGTTTACCATAATAAAATAATAACAACAATGTATAATACGATTAGGTATCGTGTGCGACCGCGGCTGTCACGAGCGAGTGTGAAGAGCGACAAAAACGGGAACACTCGGCCGAGGGGATCGGTTTAAGCGTTATGGGTATTAAATGTACATCGTATACATCACATTATTATATAATAATATCATGCGCGAGGAGCGTATAATAATAATAATATATTCGTTGCACCACGACGAGGTACACGCTGCAGTCTCCGGTGGCGTGTGGGCCTCGGAGGAGCTATATAACTGCAGTGCGTCTACACGGTGTGTATCCCGTGACGTCGTCTCGCACCATCGTCATGATGCAAGACGATTTCGTGGGCGTCCCGATTGAAAGGCGCCTGCAGGTGACGTTTATTTTTCAAAAAAATTTCAAATAAAATGTATTCCTTCTGTATATAAGCGAAACGCGTTATTCGAAATACAAGTGCAATTTTATAGAAAATGTGTTACAATAACTATACCGTGGAATACGAATTCTTTTGTGCGCAAATTAGGTATAATTATGGAATTATAGGTAGGTACTGCGGTATTGCATTACGCCGAATTGTGAAAATGTATTTTTCTTCGCAGGAAGTTAACAATTTTTTTTAAATACATATTTGACAGGAAATTGCTTTGATTATTTCTTCATGCGTTCCCATAAATCTTTAAATATGATTTTGAAAAATGCACAAGTGTGTACTTAACACTTGTGTGCACTTAACCATCTATATTATTATGATTTATGAGACGGAAAGATCTGTATAATGTACTGCTGCTGCTGCTGCTGCCTTAACACTTGTGTGCACTTAACCATCTATATTATTATGATTTATGAGACGGAAAGATCTGTATAATGTACACGTTACTTAGGTTTAACGCTAGTTAAACTGAAACACTAGTAAAAAATAAAACGGTGCAATTAAATTATGAATTTAGAATAATTAACAATAAGATAAAACGTATACAACAATTAATTAAAGTATATTCTGACCGACCGATTTGTATATCACATTATTATAATAGCTACGATGAAGCATCTACCATGTAGAACGCCTCGTGAAAAATAATTCACCTAGAAACGATAATCGAGATTTCAATAAATAATCCTATCGGCGTTTAATTGCTTTTCGTTTTTTTTTTTTTTTTTAATGCCGCAAAGAGATTATAAAATAAAAACCTTAATAAAAAAAAGACCACGGGGGACCGATCCCTTATGGACTCGCGCCGCTTTCATCGCCGCGCATGACGAGTGTTAAACCGCCGAATGAGCCTCCTGATAATTATCACAAACGGTAACTGACAAAGATTCCGAAATGAGTTTTCATTTTTTTCTTTCTATAGATAGATCCATAATAATTATCGACTATCTGCACAGCTTAATCAAAATCGTATTCAGTGTGTATTGTAAGTTTTCAAATTCAACGAATTATATAATGCACGGAGAGTTCATCGAAATAGTTGTCCCCGGGACACGTGAATTCAAATAAAATATACGAACGTGTTGACGTGTCGTGAGTATATAATGCATATGATATGAATTACCTATATGTTTTTTAGAAAACTCAAATGTAAATCCAATGACACAAATATTTATATACAAATAGAATATACATATATAATGATATATTATGCATATTGTATAATGTTTGTGCATAAAAAACTAGTACTTCCTACGTATTTATCATTCACGTAACGCGCGTACATTATTATGAAAAAAAAAAAAAACGGGGAAACCAACGGAAGAAAACGAACGCGATGTAGAGCACGCTGTGGACAAACACACAATATTGTAATAAATATATACGTAGTTTGTTTAGCCACAATAATCTAGGATTTTACATTATATATAGTCCACAATGATTTGAAACCTGTTTCATTCTAATAAACAGAAGTTGTTAGTGACTTAGTGTACGTCACGTATATTATTATTAAGGTGCAGCCGCCAAAAGTGTTACCCATGCCTGCGCCGCACACACACTTTGGACCGTTTGCCCGACAACAGACAACCATACAATACTACCAAATCTTGTTTATAAACAATATTGATAACAACACAATAACAATCAAACCTTCAGCTATGATGAAGCCAGAAGACAAAAGCAATAGCGAACAAAATATGATCGCCGTCGGAATAAAAGACACGGATTTGGTGCCGATCGTGTGGCAAGTGAGTCACATGGCCGGGTACGCGTTGACGAGCGTGGTGGGCTTGGCCAGCAGTATCATGTTCTACCTGGCCGTGGTACAGTCGGGCAACCGCTGTTACCTGTACAACTCGGCTATTACCGTGCAGGACTTGTCCAGGGAAAAGAACCAGACGATCCTGTCCGACGAGCAGGTCTGGTACCGGAACGACAACTGTTACGACACGTTCTCGTTCTCGTTAAAGGTGGGCATCAGCTCGGTCGTGTGGATGAGCATGTTCCTGGTGTTCGGCCGCGGTGGATCTTCAGTCTCAGAGTTCGATCACAGCAAATACTTCAGGTTCGTGGTCATTGTTTTACTCTTTTGAAAACTCAAAAACTCTTTTGAGCGGGCTACTAGATTATCAAGGTCGGATATAGGTGAAATCAGGATTCAATATATGAGTTGGAGATTGTTACCGTGGAGTTGGTTTGAAATGCAGTTGCAATTGAATGTCAGACTCTTGAACGAGAGGCGTATTGATAGACGTAAGCCCCCCCCCCCCAAGGAATATCCATAAAAATTATGCAGACATAGGAATATCTCTTATTCGTGGACAGAATGTCCCCGCTTGCAACAATATTGTGGAACTCGTCCGTAGTTTTGTTATTTTCTTTCCTATCATATACAGTGACATGGTCGGACAGTGGCAAGTGGTCTTCTTCGCCAGTTGTTTCAATTTTTGGTATTTCATACGTTCGATCATGATAGCTGCACAGTTTACCAACGGCTATCTATTATTTGTCGCCACCCTATTACACCTACCGGTAGACAACTACATTTACACTCGATTGTAAGTATATAGGATCAAAATTAACCTCCACCCCTGCTGTGTCAGCGAATGCACTATCGATTTGAATATTTGATATTAGGTATTTTGTTTCAGTGAAAAATATGAGAAACCGTACTACATCAGAACCATAGTAAGTATTGAAGGTCTAAATGAGGTCCGACAATTTTAAATAGTGCAGATAGTTTTAACTTACAACCCATAGATATTAGGCTATAGAATACAATTGTGCTGTAATTTGGCGGCTAGAGATTTAAGTTTTTACTTATAAGGAAAAATCTCGGCTCACCCTGGTACCAATTTAAAATTCCCGGGTCGGTATCAATATATTTTTCAAGACCCAGATTTTTTGTCTACCTAAAAGGTCCATTAATATACATAATATTTTAAGCAATTAATTTGTATGTTTTACGTTATGAACCTCAGAAAAATGTAAGAACCTACTACATATTATGGACGATCAGAAATTGTGGCTATTTTGAATAATAAATGATAATAAATTAAAGATTATAAACTTAACGAAAAATAATACAAACATATTAAATAATTGAATGGGAATATTAAGATGATTGTCATCGCATTATTTGTTTCTCTTCTGGCCCACGCGCAACGTAACAAGACATGAAGACAATTTATCAAAAAAAATTCTGCTTCGTGTGTTTTGTCTATGTTGCAAGTTGGTCAGAGAGAGAAAATAAACAGTGTATGCGATGTAGTAAATAATATTATCAATGTAATATTAACTTGGTAAAAATTACACATTTTTATGTAGGTACTGTGATACAAATTAAAATAAAAAGCCCTTCAGCATGTTGTCGAATAATAGAGTCCGGCCGACTAAAACTAAAAATTTTCGTTACAGGTATTATTGTGGTGTCAGAGTTGTTTGTGTACGTTAAATTTTCTATTGACTATTTTTCGTTGTGCTATGGGTGTGGACTTTGAGGTGAATTTCAACGATGACGATGGCGACAACGACGACAACGACGAGCCGGTCGCCGGTCCTTCAAATCAAACGAAAATAAAAAGTATGCAGCCTATGGTCTTGTACGATGACATCACGTTAGATTATGTCGGGGTGCCAACACCGTGAATAAAGTCTGAATCCAAAATGTTCGCAGAATTGATAAAAATAATAATTTAGTATTCGATTGGTGTCGAAACGATACTTTAAGACGTTTTTTTTCTTCAGATATATCATAATAATAGTATAATAAAATATATGTATTTATTATTTATTCACATTCTCCAGCGGTAACATAATAATATATTGTAGTGACTATATAATTCAAAACGATCGTGAAAAAAATCATTCCAACATTTTCTCTTTATTTTGGGTTTATATACAGTTGAGTAGAAACATGGTCATATTACACACTTATCCGATACTTTTTTAAAGATTTATTTTTCATTAAAAAAAAATACATATAGGTAGATCTCAATAATGCTGAAGACACTGATTTAGTCAGACGAATAACGTGTCAATTGCACAGATACATTAGATTAGAAAAAGGACAAATAAAATAAAAATCGTACGTATTATCTATCCAATACATACCAGAATCAAAAAAATTAGATAACCAGGGACTAGAAAATAACTGCAACATAAATAATTATAATGATTTTTACGTACAACCACAGTTCATTTCTTATATAATTGTAAAAATTAATTTATTTTAATAAAATAATATTTTTAATTAATGAAAATATAAATAGCAGACATTTTTTTTTAGTCTCTTTGCCTATTAGGTATATTTTAATAAATTGCGATGTCAAACATCACAGTGACATAGTGTAACGAGGACTTTAGTGCGGTTATTCGTCACATCGATAGTGATGGTGGAAAATAGACAGCAATAACGGGCGAAATGGGCAGAACGAAATGCGAAAACGAATATAATGAAATATACCGTTTCCACGTTACGAATTTCTGTGGGTCGTCGAGTGTGGGTACATTTTTTTGTTTCGGTAACACGAAAAAAATAAAACTATTGCGGCGGTTTCGGTCGTCGCTGTAAATTAGTAGTAAAAGAAGACGAGAGGGAAAAAAATATCAAATAAAAGGAACAAGCCGGTCACAGGTCACTAACGGGGTTAGACGAGCGTTGTGGGTGTCGGTCGGGCGGCGGCGGCGTTATAATATTATGCTACAGTGATGATCGATACGAATTCCTCGATAATTATTATTGAACAAATTGATTTGGGAAAACGAAACGGGGGGAGAAAAAAAAATTCTATTTTATTGGTATAATAATAATATATATAGGATCAATATTTCGTATAACATTTATAACGATGTATAATACAACGTCTATAATAATATATGTAATATCGTATTATGAGCACCGGGCCGCTCGGAAGATGGGTTTAATGACTGGCGTATATTATATGCTTATAGACGACGATGATGGCCGATAGGTGTGAAGTGTATGTTCGTGTATGATATGTGACGGACGGATCATTAATAATGGACACCGTGGGATGCCTATATATAAGTATATAAATACAGCCAATACAACCGACCAAACAAGGCGTTTATAGTCTTCGCGTTCGCGGTTGTATATTTGGATTCTCCTCTCGAGTTACGATATAGGCAATAACTAATAATATTAGGCGTATACATAATACGGCCGAAGTTTAATATTATTACACGGCGATGACTAGGCGGCGCCCGCGAGTTAAGTCCGACGGTCATATTGTGCGGGGGCCACGGGGCGCGTGGAGGGGGGTTGAAGGGATAGTGAAATGTTCAACGATTTTTACACACTATACTTTGGTCCAAATAAGAAGAAAACGGGATGAACTCACGGAATACATTATTATATCGCGAGTGCACGTCATGTAGAAATCGGTTTAGGGACGTCGCTGCGGTTGATGCACCATTGCACCCCCACATAGATGTATACAATAATATGAATACTATATAATAACTAGACAGCCCACTCCATGCGCGACAACATTACTGAATTATGATGCCCAACGCCATTTGTCACTTGGGCAACGTTAACAAATTCTTGTCATTTGTTTGGTACGAAATGTTGTTGATTAATGATTATTATCACATCTTTCTAAAGATTGGTGAACATTGCCCAATAGTCGAACGTGGCTACCAGCATCGTTGATAAGAAGACGGTCGGCTATCTAGTAATTATGATGTACATGTGTGGTTGCACCAGAGTCTACAGGTTATCGGAACGGACAAGCCATACACGCGATAAGGAAAGGCGGCGAAAAGTCCTTCTCGTTTGGCGCGGTGCAGGTTTCGGGAAATACGCCGCTCTGACAACATTTAATGTACATATTATTATGATAAAAAATTATGTGTTTTGCGTATATTATAATACAGTTGTACCAGTGAGTCTATGTACAGGTACCTACTATTGCACGCCAGTTCGCCGCGAGCGCACTGTGTGGCCCCGTAACGCCGGTCGTTTGTCTCTGAAATTATTGCTCGACCGGCCAAGGACGACGTTGCGTGTGTGTACACTGTATATATGTATTTGCTAACGATATTTCGCCGACGAACAACAACAATAATAATAATAATAATAATAATAATAATATCGAATAATTGGACGTCGTCGTCGTCGTCGCGCAGTCGTTTAACCTACGTGACGTGCTCGTTTAATTGGCCTCCGTTGAGCGTTTGATTGGCCGCTGCCGCGTCTTCGGTGGGAAATCAAATCGATGCGTGTGCGGTACGCGTAAATCGCGAAAAATCGGAACAGACGACGCGCCGGAACAGATGGTTTTAATGAGCCGAGGAGAGCGTCGCTCGTCAAATCTGCGTCCCTGTCGGTCTCGTAAATCGTAAGATCTTAATATTAATATATTATACTGTTTATGTGCAGCCAGAACAATATATATGTACACCGGACGTAATATCATCGACATAATACTTTGAAATTGAAATGTCATTACGGTTTTTTCTTTCTCAAGTCGCTTCTCGTCATCACTGTTGGTTTGATGACAAATCATCAAGATTCTTAGGTAGGTATTAGGTTAGTATAGTATTTCTACAAGACGCGTGCGTTTATATTGTATTATCATTGTTGTTGTTGTTGTTGCTGTTGTTGTGTTGTATATTATATAGTTGTTGTACGGCGTTTGGCAAACAACATAACGATTTACGATAATAATATTATGTAACACCCATTACAACCTTATAATTATTATCACTATTATTGTACGCGTCTTCGGTGAGAACAAAAAAAAAAAAAATTTGTTAAAACACAATGCGGCGGCGTTTAATGGTGTAAAAGAAAAAAAGCCCATCATCGACGGAATGGTTTTCGGGCGTCAGGCTAGATACCCATTACCCACACACGCATACACACACGCGTATTATACACATATATCAATATATTATTATATTGTGTGTGTGTGTGCGTGTGTGTTGTAGGGACCGACCACCCGGCGCGGAGGACGCACGCTGAGAGCGCCGCGTTGTCGTCGAGTCCGACAGCGTACACTGTTCGAGAGCGTATCACACCGCGGAGACCGTCCTGGTCCAACGAAAAGAAATCAGAGTGCGTCGGTTTACCGACACGAACATCGTAAACGATACGTATCGTTTTGTCGCGCACCGGTTCGGATCGGGACAGGATCGACGACATTTGCCCGCGATATCGGAACCGAAATGAATTTCGTCAGCACATCAACGGAATAGTTCGGAATCACAATATGACCGAAATCAGAACTTTTGTTGAACATGAATGTTTTGATTGTCAGTCGGTTGTTAGGAAGGTAATATAGGAAGGTATATTATTGCTCGTTGTAACGTTTAACGGCCGTTTAAACTTCAAAGTAAACATTTAATATGATTTAGGTAGTTAATAATACTTTTATATTGTTACAATACGGTTTAATACAATGAAAAATATTTTTAAATAATAAACGAAACACTATACACAACAGAAAGTTCAGTTACAGGTTAGGTTATGATCCCGTGCTTTGAAAACGTACGAACTTTTCATAGCAGTTATAGGTAGTGTCGGTTTTTATAAATAACGTGCATGTTAGTGACAACATTATATAACGATTTAAAAATGCTCATTCACGAACAGATCAAATCTCTCAAACGCGCACAAGTGTAAAAATATTAGTGATAGTGATTTGTTTAAAAAAAAAACGCATCTCAACACGTCCACTCTCACGCGTTTTTTATCATTGACGTATACCATACGCGATCGAATTCTCCGGAATTATATTATGTTACAACAATCTAGACTGCGCGTGTCTACACCTATAGCCTTAGGATTGTTAATCATTTCGAAGAACAAACAAATCGCGACGAATGCATATAAACCGTTGATAATGTGACGCATTATTATTATTGTTGTTATTGCATGCGGACACCTCGCCTTATCCATCACAATAACCTACTTGCGGCGTCTGTGTGACAACAATTATTTATGGGCCTTTTTTTTTAACGATTTAATATTTTTTGAAAATGTCACGAGTATTATAGGTGGTCAGGTGGAACACGATTAGATTCCACACAAGACGAAAAATATGTCTAGTCTTTCATTTAGTCATCGCCATGGTAAGTTGTAAAACCAATAAAACTATTCGAAATAGCTAAAAAAAAACTTAACCACATCAATCACACGTAATTTGTCAGTTTCGATATGTCTGCGATTAAGGTGGAATGTGAATTTGTTTGTAAAATAATTTACGTATCAAATATATTGTTGTCCTTGGTAAGAACTCATATGTATTTACATCCATTTTTAATTTCGTGAAGGAACTCACATTTCAAATGACCGTTTATATAATATGTCTCGTGTACTCGTGTAGTAACGTACATATTCACTTATTTATAGGTCTATCTCACACGAAAATACACCGTGGGTGACTTCACCGACACAACGATACGCCGTGAACAGGGACCTCAAATCGTGTACTTACGAATTTTTATCTGACCCGCAGACGAGAAATTTGTTTTTAAATTATTATTATGTATGATGGATTATATGATATTTTCAATTTTCATAGTTTTATTTTGCTATTGGTCAAATATGTACATTACACTTTGATGGCATTAGAAGACTTTCTGAACGCCTAAAATGGCCTTCAAAAATATTAATTGGTGACCTCTTTTGCCCTGTCATATAATATAGTAGTACAATATACTCTATAGTGAAATGTACAATACCTACGACGGAATAAAAAACACCAGAATGTTATTATTATATACCACTACTCTGATCGAATCTCCCAGAAACCATATAGAGACGGTCAGAATGGAAAATATATTGAATGTACCTACCTACTATGATGGTACTGCGGTATTGACTGTATATTATAATCTTGATAATTATATTGTACAATACCATCCCTTTCGGAACAATCAAATCTTTACGGTTTATACACTTTCGAGTCATTTCAATATGTAAATCGTCATAATAATACATATTATTTTCTATTCTATAAACTGTATACATAATGCAATCCTACGCGTCGAATCTATCTATACGATCAAGTAATATAAGAAAAAATTATAAATAAATAACCCAATTAAATTAAATAAACGCCTCTTTGTAAAGTTATAGTATAATTCATCGTCTATGTACTTTCCGTTTTTTAAGCGATGTAAACATTACTAGTATAGAACAGACATTTCGACATCT